ATTAGTGGGTTTGGTAAACTGAGATCCAGTTTTTACCCACGTTGTAGAAAATATTGTAAACAATTTGAAATGAATACCGCCAGACACTTTCTGTTGGTATAATTTTTTGTCAGACACTTTAAATATCGATAATATAAAATATTATCTTTCTTACAGACTGGTTCTTGGCTTTAAAATATAATAAGAGGCAATTTAAATGTATTTTGTAAGTTTCCAGAATCATTCTAGCTGCCTTTTTGTAGCTCCTAGTACCTGAGAGTTGGCTGTCGTGATATGCTAGCAGTATATATCACCTTTGTGTGTCAGAAAACAAGTAATTCCAAGGGGCCCTGGGATCTTACTGTAGCAATATCTATTTCTTCCAAATTCGGTGACATATTTTTGATCGTGTTACAGAATTTCAATTTACACTATCTGTTTTATATTACTACAAGACAAATTAAAACATAACTTTTATCTTCAGTTCCGTAAAAACTTATGTTTTATGTTCTTTTAAGATTCACATTTTAACGAAAAAAAATTTATATTGTACGAAAAGGACAATAGATTATAACAACTGTTTATAATTAAAAAAAAGTTAAAAAACATAATAAAGATCAATCTTTTAAGTTTCTTAGACTCATAGTTTATTTAAAGTGCCTGTTCTGTAGATAAGGTTCAACCTACAACTTTGTAGTACCTACATATATTAAAACGTTCCATATTTTTGTTGAACTCTTATCAATAATTTTCTTATCCAATTAATACATACAAATATTATAACAATGTATTCGATTATTTTTATCGCTTGGAATTCCGTCATTATGACGTTTCTCTGGGAATTCCTAAAATAAAACCGTTGTGATGTAGTTTTTATCATTTGACCTCTTGACTTAGTCCTACTCGCAAGAAAGTCCATAATAAACTTGAATGATGAGTTCTTTTAAAATCACTTTAGATAGATACTTGATTTTTCTTTCTTCATAATTTTATCTTTGCAAAAATCATTATACCTATTTTTTTTTATTTTTAATAATTTCTCAGTAAAGTACTAATCAAGTTTTTCTAGTCCTTTGTTAGTTTGTTTTAATGATAACTTTTTAAAAGTACAACTAATTATAGTAGTATTATAATATTTTAGTTTGGTCCAAGATGTTAACATAATATGACATAATATATAGTAGCTAAGCTATATGACTCATTACTTTCAAGCTGATTGAGATGAGGTCTTGAAATTTTATTCTTTACAAGCATTATACATTTAAAAAATAAGACTATATATTTAAAGTAAATAGTGAGGGGTACAAAATATTTTAACCCATTTAGACCTATCGTCTCACATACGATACACCAAAAGTAATAAATTATTTTGAAGTTCCGTCGATAAGAATTTGTTTTTATTTGGAACCCATGTGAAGTGCAAGGTCTGTGCAACATTCCTAGAAGAGTTTATTTGTTATAGTCGAATACACAAGTTGACTACATACATGGTTTGTTAGAGATTTGTGCATTGCGATCATATGATGGCATCAAAACGGTAAGAAATGCTATATTTTTTCAAATTATCTCATATTTATAACAATTTATAACTAGAATACAAGTTAAAGCGTAAATTGAGTGATTTAGTTTTATTATTTCTTGGAAATTTTTGCATGCTTTTTACTCGTAAACTATAGTGTATCGTATTTGATACAGTAGGCTAATACGCATAATATATTTCTTATTTCAGACTTACATTTAACGAAATTGTCATTCGCTTAGAAGATGAAATCGAAAATAGTTTCACAGAAAATGATATTTATTTACTACCACCTGAAAATGCAAACGGGGTGTTGACTGATGTTGTTGACTGATGAAGATTTTGGAGACGAATATAACGTCGAAATCAACAACCTACCACGGAGCTTGTTGAGACCGAATGCTGAGTTGCATGGATCAAATTCAGGAGATTTTAAAAGTCAACAATCAGGTCTTGGAGTTGAAGTAGATCAAGAGCCAGATTTCTGCGAACCACTAAGCAAAACATCCAAAAAGTACAATTGGAGAAAAAAAATCTTCACCAAAGCAAAACCGACATGGAAACCTATGTTCCATGTTCCTAATCAAAGGTGGTATCGTGGTGGGTATCGAATGGTTTTCTTTTTTTTTTCAGAAGATCTTTATCTATTACTCAGTACTGAGACTAATAAATACTTAGGAAGGAAAAGTCTTCCCGTTGATATGAAAATGGAAGAAATGAAGTGTGCTATAGGCATTTTGTTAGTAAGCGGCTACTGTCAAGTAAATAGAAGACGTATGTACTGGGAAAAGACACCTGATACAAAAAATGATCTGATTGTTGATGTGTTGATCTTTCAGACAAAACATATCATCTCTTCGGACAAGTATTCGCGGTAAGAAGTGGTATATGCCACTCATTCTGCATTGTATAGACATGTCACTTCAGAACGCCTGGCTACTATACAAATATAATGGTGGTAGTGTCGATATGCTGATTTTCAGGCGTCGCGTAGCTATCGCACTTATAGAATCAAATACCCTTGGAAGTAAACCAGGCCGTAGCAGACCATCCTCACTAACCATGGATACGAGGTTTGATGAAAAGGGTCATTACGTCATCAAACAACCACAGAATAAACGAACAAGATGTGGCTTGTGTCATCGATCATGTCCTGCAAGATGTGTAAAGTGCAATATTTGACTTCATATTGATAGTTTTCTTACCTATCATACCAAAAAATAATGGTGTATATTTATTGTCAATAAATACTTTTTGCCTTAGATACTCGAATTTATGCTTTTATATAAGCCTACTGTATCACATAGGATACGGCCCATCTCAGACCCCCTATGGAATCAATTTTTTTTTAAATATTTTATTCATTAATAACAATGTTCAATGATACGATAAAAATAGAAAAAGTACATATTTTTCGAAAAAAATAGTTTCCGGTCTAAATGGGTTAATACATATTTTCTGTGTCCTAAGCCCAGCCAGTTTCATAACAATTTGATGTTACGTAATTATTACATTTTCAACTTTCCCCTGTTGACAGAAATATCATATGTTTATTAATATATAAAACAGAAAATGGTTTGCGTTTAGTTTGACTTTTTGCGGTAATTGTACCGGTAATTTGAACCAACTAAATTGCAATAGAGTCTTCAATCCCACTAGATCATCCGTGAAACATCTGGAAATTGTTACGTCCAACGTCGTGAAACAACAAGTATAGTAGTGAATGAAAGGGTGGTACGGATAATGAGTTAGTGTAAAAAATGTCGGACTTCTAAATTTCATAAGAGTAACGTAACCTATAATGTTTTAAGATATATTTTTATAGTCCAGCCTAGATATATAGTAAACTTTTCAGACTGAATATATATTTTAAGATATTTGTTATGTTTCTTATATCACAGTATAATAATTTATACATAACCTTTAAACAGAATCTTTTAACAGAAGTTACATATATGAATATCGAAGCGAAAACATTTCATTTACGTAATTAATAATTGTGGACAGGTAAAATTACCGGGTCACCTTTTTTTTGTTTAGTCGGTGAAAGATTTTATACCTACTGCTCCGTCTATCGGAGACGGAGGCGGTTATGTGGGACTCACGGGCCAGAAGGGACCTTGCTACCCACTAAAACTATAGCGGTCACTCTTCGTCGCCGCCTAGTGAATCGCCACGGGAATCGCCGAAGCAACCGGGTTTCACCTACATAACCATAGTTTATCCTTGCATAGCTATCTGAGTAAATGTAGTCACAACAATAAGTGTTGGTTGGTATAAATAGAGGAAATAGTATAGATTAAAATCATTCTCTCTCAGGCCATTATAACGACCAGGCCTCTTCGAAATAAAGGATTCGCAAACCGTTTAAAAACAAAGGCAATGGTGATGTCAGTAATACTGACGTCACTCTTTGTAAAAAGAATGAAGTGTTACTCAACCCGACATATATTGTAAGATGTTTTTAATATCACGATATAATTATTGGATTCATTAACGCTTACGAGTCTCGGTTATTCTTCTTGTGATAATGATAGTTCACACCCTATGTAACATGCGAAGGATCAAAACGTCTGGGAAAAAAGGATGGGGTCATCAGTTGAACAATGTAATCATATAATTGTAATCTTTATTTATACTATTTTTGTTTTCAGAATTATACAGTGTTTTAATACTAAGTATATCTACCTTATAATTATTATTTAACATGTTTTTTTACAGAAAATTTAATATTAAATTATTAATAAAAATGATCCAATAATATTTGTTCTCGATTTTGATGTTATTGTGATTATAATCGCCGTTTCCAAAATTAGAAACTCCACAATTTGAGCAGCCGGACTGTCTGAAAAATTAAAAGGATTTATTTTTATACTGTGTTTCTTTTTTAATAATAATTTCAAATTACAATGTAAACTCCATGTAACGTCACTCGATTTATCGACAAATTCTCTAAAGTGTCAAAATCATTTGACTTTGGTTGGTTTAGCTTGTCTACCATACAATGATACACTCTACATAGCATCATATCCACTCTCAATAACGACAACAATTAAGTAGTACTATCAAAAACACCTTTTAGGTTGCTAAAAGTAGTAAAAACTGTGCAGCTGTGTACGTTCTTTTGTTATCCTAGCCCGCAATAAACTCGACTGTCGGAATAATGCATACCGAACTTTCTAAGAAATTCGTTCTTCACCAACGTCTAAATATCGCAAGATATGAATAAAATAAGTAAAAATACAACATCATTACTGGTGCAGCAAAAGACGTCAAACAAAAATAACACACTATACGCAATAGCGTTTGAATAACATTCTTTTTTTTGTACATAAGTACTAACACTAGTCTGAAATAAACTTTATCTTTTTCTAATTCAGATTTTTCTTCTCTCTATTTAACGACAACTCTCTATAAAATGCACAGTCCCTTCAGTGTCATTATATAGAGTTTACACTGTATATTATTTTTCTGTGTAACTTATTTTTCGAACAGAAGTAGATTACCCTTGATCATAGTAGTCGCTGTCATATTCACCGTAATCATAGTCAAATAGCTTAGCCAGTATATTTGTCATACGTTTACATCTTGGACCGGAACTGCAACATTACAATCATTCGTTATACAATTATTACTCCAACCACAAAGACAAATAGTACAATTGTATATAATGTATGTTTACTGTATTATTTTATATTAACAAAGAAATAAGTTGTATCTTACCAGGGCATGCTGTTGGCCACGGCCAGCAAAACAAATAGACAAATAGTGAAAAAATATAATTTCATTTTGACACGATCGTATGTTATTTTACGAGTAAGCATGTATAACCCACTTCTGGATCTATAATAAACATAAAACAGCCAATCATTCTTTTTTATACTTCTATTTCTTATGACTGACACTAAAGGTCAAAAGATAACATTAGTTTAAACCACTTTATTTAAGAAATCCCAAAACGATAAGGGTATGTTAGTTAGTTAGCTTAAGTTATTTTGATTAAAACAAAAAATTATTACATTAAAATACACAATCATTTTATTGATGATTTTTTATGCGCCCATGGAATTTAACCCTACAATGCATATTATGCCATATCTGGTACAGTCATAATAATTAAGTTTACTGTTAATTTAAAGACACCTATCGACATAAATCGAATGACGAAATAATCTTTGAGCCCTTAGCAACGGATTAGTAATGGTAAAGGTCATCGGATGGTGTTGGCTATCGATTATTATTGTAAACCGTACACAATTTGAAAGTTTGACGCGTACTCGTGGTTAACGTAAATTGAAAATTCTTAAAAAAAATGATTTTTGAATATTATAAAGCGAAAAAAATACAATTACATTAGAAATAGTGTATATTAAATGAAGGTAAGTTATTTTTCTTTAAATATTACTATATTTTATTCTTATATATCAACTTATTTAAATGTGCCAGATATGGAACACTCTGCATTAGTTCACTTCTGTTATTTTATTTTGGTTAGATTTTATTACAAATTATGGCAAAGAAGGTACTGTCCGACGAGTTCATTGAGCAGTATTTAGCTATACTGTCAGAAACTGAAGACGGTCAAGACTTTTCAAGTGGGGACAGTGATGATGACTTGGCGAGGATCAGAGAAAACTTGTACTAAATGAATGAAGATGGTGACTCTGAAAATTAGCTTATCCGGTATGCAGCATTTTCTTCTGCTAATTGCAGTACTACCCTCGACGAATATATGAATAAAGAATGGACAAATCCTCAGGCCACCATATCAGGACCAAGTACTTCATCACCCGAAAATAGAAGTTGTTTCACTTTGTCAGTAAGAAGAAATCCAATTACGAATAATGTAACTAATAAGAGGAAGAAAAGAAATTTAATATGGAAAAAGAAATCTTTTGCAAACTGAATATCATAAATTTTCTGGAAATTGAGATTTAAAACCACTAATCACAATTTTGGATACTCCATTGCAATATTTTTTATATAGTTTTTTGTGGTAATGTGGTATGATAAAAAGCCTGTAGTTTAGTTCTCATCGTTTGTAGGACTACAGTCTATTAGCAAGATTAGAAGGTTTTGCAAGAAACAGAAAAAGTATTGTCCTCAAATAGTAAAAGTTTATAATCAACATATAAGGGGAGTGGATTTGATGGCCTCTTTCTTGGAAAGCATAAAATAAAAATGCGTACTAAAAAATGGTATTTACGTTTGTTTTACCATTTTTTAGACATTACCACCATAAATTGCTGGCTACTGCACAGGAGGGTAGGAGAACAGGAGAAAGAACCCAATTATATTAAATTAAACAATTTCTAAACCAGAACTAGCTAAAAGTCTTTGTATGTGTGGTCCATCGTTACAAAGAAAAAGAGGAAGACCCTCTTCTGCTGCAGATAATATTATCGAGAAGAAGAAAACAAATAATGCAGCTATCCTTCCATCTCGAGATGATAAAATTGATCATCTTCCTCTATGGAACGAGAAGCGACAACTCTGTAAGTATCCTCAGTGTAAAGGAAAAACATACATATCTTGCGAAAAGTGTCGTGTTGAGTTGTGTTTGAACAAAGATAACAATTGTTTTAATAAATTTCATTCACAAACTTAATATATTTTAAACTATTTTATTATGTTCATTGTTCCTAATTAAGAGTCAAATGTTAGTATAAATGCATATTGTACCACATATGGAACAAAATTTAATAAATGAATATCTATAAAACTAATGGATTTTGATTATTGTTTTCGTACTTTATTATGTCTAGACACCATATAGAATCACATATATGTATTTTTTTGAGATGATTTAAAAAAATCATGCATTGTAGGGTTAAAAGATATAGTAGTTTAGCTTTGATTTCTGTAGCGTTAAAGTTAAAAGTCATTTGCCTTTTTCGTTTAGATTTTCTAATTTTTCTTTGAAATTGGAATATGTTTGATTGGGGGAAAAGGAAAACAAATTGTTTTCGTTAATCTTAAGATATATATGAGTTACATATGGAATAAAATAAATATTTTTATAAATATGTGTATATTATTCAGCTATTCATATACATATTTGAAATATTTGTATGGAAATTTAGCTTGTTACAGTTTTGTTATGTTCATTTCATTTTTTTTATTGCTGAAACAATTTTTAAGACATAACTAGAAATTTGTTTCACGAAATACCTGTTTTAAAAATTTATTAGTTAACTATAGTCTATCTTACTTTTTAAAACTCCGGTAGTAGAAGGCTGTAACATTAATTTCATGTACTATTAACTTGCTTGACGAGTGTCTCTAACATAACAGTAGGTAATTTATGAAATGTTGCGGGTCCATTAATGGTTTGAAACAAAAAGCAATAAATACACTATGTCTATACGTCCCTATGACGTCGATTGGCGTATTGAACGACATGACGCTGAGTCTGGTTTATATTTTATGATATTGAGTTTTTAATACAATAATAGCAAAAGTTTTGATAAAAATATCTATTCATGTGCAAACTTGAGACCAAATTTTGTATCCGTACCTTTATCACGAGTTTTCTTGGTTAAACTAAGTTCCAGAGTAAAACAGGTTAAAGTATTATATTCACTAGCTTTCCACATGACAGAATGAACTTAAGTATGTAAAACAGGAAAATATTTTGCGTTTAGTTTGACTTTTTGTCATTATTGTACAGGTATCTTAAAACAACTAAATTGAAATTTCGTATACATCTTTATGTCAGAAAATATATTTTACGATTAACGTAGTGCTTGTTATCCCACAGTATTATTATTATTTATGGGTTTGTCAACATATAGTCCTCGGGGTAAAGATTAATAAAGTGACATACATATGTATAATGGTAATATGTATTTATTTATATTGTTTTCATTTTCAGAATTTTACAACTTTGTAATACTAAATAAGTCTGCCTTATAATATTAAATAACATATTTATTACATAATATTACTTGCAGATTATGACGAGTTGGGCTTTTCTAAAAGTCCTAAAAAGAGCTCCAACAATATCGTATTATTTCTTCTCGATATTGATTTCATTGTGATTATAATCGCCGTTTCCAAAATCAGAAACTCCACAATTCGAGCAGCCGGACTGTCTGAAAAAATTAAAAGGATTTATTTTTATACTGTGTTTCTTTTGCAAAAACAATTTTAAATAATATTATTTTCTGTGCAACTCATTTTTCATATAGAAGTAGATTACCCTTGATCATTGTAGCCGCCTTCATAGCCACCGTAATCATAGTCATATAACTTAGCCACTTTATTTGTCATACGTTTACATCTTGGACCGGAGCTGAAACATTACAATCATTAGTCATACAATTACTCAAACCACAAAGAAACGTCTTTTATAAGAAGTGTCTATACTGTATTATTAAATATTAACAAGAGAAGTTGTATCTTACCAGGGCATGCTGTTGGCCACGGCCAGCAAAACAAAGAGACAAATAGTGAAAAAATATAATTTCATTTTGACACGAGCGAAAGTTATTTTACAATGCAGCAGGAATAACTCCGTTATGGATTTATAATAAACTTAAAACAGCCAAGTATTGCTATTTATACTGATTTCCGTTACGACTGATACTACAGGTCAAAAGATAAAATTATTTTAAATTGTTATATTTAAAAAATCCCAGACAAACGTCACAACAAAGAAATCCCGAAACAATAAAGTGGTTAATTAGTTAAAGTTTAGTGGTTGAAATAAAAAATGATAATCCTAATACAAATATTAACAAGTACACAATTCGTTTATTTTATGACTTTTTGTATGTGTATGAAATTTAGAATATTTAAGTTTAGCTTTGATTTCTAAAGATTTAAGGTTAAAAGTCATTTGCCTTTTTCATTTAGATTTTCTAATTTCTCTTTGAAATTAGAATATGTTTGACTACGTGAAAAAGGAAACAAATTGTTTTCGTTGACCTTAAGTTAAAATATGCGTTGAACCTGTATTTAATGTAAAAAGGTCATTGGAGTTCCTTTAGGAATTCCAAAAATGTAACCGGTTTTAGTCGGTTTTGGAGTCAATAAAGATTATTAACATGGTTTCCTGTTGTATTATAATAGTTTACTTTGAATTACTATTTGGTCGGCGAGGCGCAATTTGTTAATATATTTTCTGCAGGAGTTATATCAAAATAACACAATTATCTTGAATATCAATAATAATAATTGGTAATTGGTAATTGTTTTCTTTTACCATAAAATTTTATTACAAAAATTAAACTTTATTTTAATTAATTTAATATTATTTTTTTTAAACACGGTTATTTTTATGTGTTTTCATTTATAAGTAAAGGATTAAAACAAACAAAACTGAATTAAATATCTTTCAACAATGATAACTAATGTATAAAGTCTAAGGACAAGAGTGGAATGACATCTTATTTCAGGTCCTTTAATCTGTTTTTTTCCCACATTAAATGTACGATTCAATCATTAAACCGTTATGTTAGGTGTGTTTTTATAAAATTTTATTGCAATTTTAAGAGAAAATTGGAAATTTTGCAATATAAAAGAATCCGAAACGATAATTAATTTAAATAAATCGTAATTAAGTTTGAGTTAATGAATATTTTAATAAATATGTATATAATCTTTTGCTTTTAGTGTATTTAAAATAGATTTCTAGAAATTAAGTTTATTTCATTTTCGTTTTTTTCTGTTTACTTCTTTTTTAGAACCGTTTAATAAAATACTTGAATAAAAATTCGTTAATCAACTGTGGTTACTTTTATTCTGTGCAACTCTTTTTGTTTTACAGTCTGAAACGGATTTATAAACAAGGTTGTATTTAGTTTTTATTTCAATATGTGTTAAAAGCTTTTAAATATATATTTCATTTTATTAATTGTGTCACACAAAACAGCACCCCAATAGGTACATTAATTTCATTTATAGTGCACTATAAACTCACTTGTTGTATGTCTATGACGTACCAGTGTGTAATTTATAAAATGTTGCGGTTCATTAAATGACTCTGAAGCAAAATGTGAAAGCAATAAATACACTATGTCAATAGGTTCCTGTGACATCGATTGGCATATTGAACGACGTGACGCTTAATCTGGTTTATATTTTATTGCATTGAGTTTGAAATACCGTAAAGAAACAAGACACATTCTTCTGTTGATATAACCCTTTATATTTTAAACCCGATATATTGAAATAGATATTAAGCAAATATGTTTTAGGTCATAATTATTTACTATAAATGCCAATGTACATTATTATAAGTTGAGCATTATATTTTGCAGTTATTTTTATCATTAGGTGAAATATGTAAGTTTCATCATTATTTCTTCTTTTTAATTTTATAGATCAGACATAACAACGCTTTAGACTCTGTTTACAATCTTATATTTGACGAGCAATGTGTGTCTGGAAAATTTATTTGTTCAAGTGCAAACTCGCAACGAGTTTTTGAATCCGTAGCTTTAACACGAGTTTGCTTAATCAAACTAAGTTCCAGTGTAAAACAGTTTACAGTATTAGAATCTCCACCTTCCCACTAGCCAGAAAGAAAATAAGTATGTAAATATATGTAACAAGAAAATTAAAAAAGTAAGCTCCTTTGAGTCGGATGAAAACCTTAATCCAACTTAGTCATCTGTGAAACATCTTGATATTGTTACGTCCAACGTCGTGAAAAAACTATATATACATATATACTCTTTATTGCACAGTAAAAAATAATTACATGGTTTTTGTAAATAAGGAATTAATGTTGACAAAGGCGGGCTTATTTCAATGAGAAATTTCTTCCAGCCAACCCACAGCTGTAAGAGTTAGTGTGTACAGCAGGTAATAATTATGCAATTAGAGATGCTCTTAATAATATAATATAAAAAAAAATCAATTTTAATATAATACATGTGTATATTATAAAATATAGTAAGCGACATTGTAATCTAGATTGATAGAACTAAGTTATATTTTTAAAAGGTTTCGTGCTTTTTAATTTAACAAAAACTTTAACCCACACACGTACGTTTAATAAAAACGTTATTACCGTTTGTGTTTTTAGATGTAATTTTAAGTTTCCGACTACGAATATACCTTTCAGATTTCCTGTCAGTTAAAACATATTTTAAAATTGCTATTTATTGGTTCTTCAACGCTTACAATCGTGATATTGATAATAATTAGTTCCTTCTGTGGCATGTGAGGGATCAACATTTTTGGGGAAACAGACAGGGGAGACAGTTGAAGAAAATAATCATGTAATTGTTATATTTATTTACACTATTTGTGTTAAAAGAATCTTACATTGTGGTGATATATACAATATAAATACATGTTTGTTACACTTAGAATTTTAATGGCCTAAAAAAGCTCCAACAATGTTGTATTATTTCTTCTCGATATTGATTTCATTGTGATTATAATCGCCGTTTCCAAAATCAGAAACACCACAATTTGTGCAGCCGGACTGTCTGAAAAATTAAAAGGATTTATTTTTATACTGTGTTTCTTTTGCAAAAGTAATTTCCAATAATATTATTTTCTGTGCAACTCATTTTTTATATAGAAGTGTATTACCCTTGATCATTGTAGCCGCCTTCATAGCCACCGTAATCATAGTCATAAAGTTTAGCCACCTTATTTGTCATACGTTTACATCTTGGACCGGAACTGAAATATTACAATCATTAGTTATACATTTATTATTCCAACTACAAAGAAACATTGGCAACGCTTATAAGATATGTGTTTACTGTATTATTCAATATTAACAAAGAAATAAATTTTATCTTACCAGGGCATGCTGTTGACCACGGACAGAAAAACAAATAGACAAATAGTGAAAAAATATAATTTCATTTTGACACGAGCGAATGTTAGTTTACAAGGCAGCAGGAATAACTCCGTTATGGATCTATAATAAACTTAAAATAGTCGTACATCTTATTTATACTGTTCTCTCTTATGATGGAGTCAAGGGTTCAACAGATAAAAAGTATATATTACAGTTTTATTTGACAAATTCCCAGTTAATGTCATAATTAAGGAATCCCAAATGATAAAGACATGTAGGTTTTAGTTATTGTTTCGTTCTTATCAATTTGAAATTAAAATGAGTGATAAGGACGTATGTAATTTATAATTTTGTTTTAAAGTAATTAATACAAAACAATATCTCAAATCTATACGTTTTAAAGCGGGCTCTTTAAGATACACAAAAATTATAAATCTATGGAGCTGAAATGACTGATCCCATAAAAAATAAATTGTAAAGAAAATCAAATAGATCGTCTAAAAAATATTAAATCGTTTCAGTCAAGTATTTTTTAGAACAAGGACGAGGGAATTTCAGACGAATTTTTCTAATTTTATTGACTTAAAGGTTTTAATAATACAAGGTACCGTATAATTATTAATTTGAACAGAGTCGAAGTCAAAAATATATTGAAACGACATCATGATAAATGAGTTTATTTTATTAACCAATAACCGGCTCAGTTTTATTAATATTGTAATATACCTTCTTTTATTTCAAATTCCAATAAAAAATATTACTGTGAAGTGGAGCTTAGCAAGTAAGCGGTTAATAAAAAATTTAATGAAACTAAAGTGGTTTTTTCTTCAATAATAATTTTATTCGGAGAAGATGAAATGTAAATGTAATTATATTATTTTGAAAAGGACTTGACAAATATTTTGCAGAATGAATATAGCTAGTAAATATTGTACTCGTATTAAATATATAATTACTTTTATATACACGAACATTATTTAAGATCACTATGCAGCAAAGACAAAGTTATATAAATCTAAGTAAATTCAATTTATAAGATAAACGTTGTCTAGAAACCATGGATCTGAAGACTAAGCGAATATTCTAAATGATATTTCATTCACTCACATTTATTATATTGTGCCAAATCTTAGGCTTTATCAGAAATTCATTTCCAATTTCCCAAAATACAATGACAATGATATGTAGGTGGCATTAATATCAGCTATATCAAATGGTAAGAGATTTCCAATAATTCTAATAACGATACTGAAATATAATATGTTTGTGACCTTGGTATTATGACTAGAGAATAGTTATAAAAATATACTAACATTATCTTAACATCAATAGATACTAAAAATGTTCGTAGCTTATAATCTGTGTGTAATTACGATTTTTAAATAATTATTTTTATGTTTAAATATAATGTTTATTTTTAAAATGATAAGAACAAAAATAATGGGTATTATTATTAAGATTGGGATTTTGTTTATTGAAACATATTAAAAATTACGTTCCTTAGAAAAATATTTTTTTAATAAGGAATATTTTTATTATCAATTAATACTAGTTCTTGTGTTAAAGTTAATTTAGTTTTTGATAATATTACATCACAAAATATTTTATTTCCTTAGAAAATCAAAAGTTTTGGTGTAGAATACATTTATTTACAACATACTTCATTAATGAATGTGTGTTAATATTACATTGGGCAAATAAATCTTATATAGAGGCATCATTCCTTGTACGAATACAGACGAGGTCCAGGTGTTTTGTCTCCTACGAATTATTTGATTTGGGAAGACAAAGAAAAGAAAATTAGGTTTAGTAAAGAATTGAAATACGTGAGGGTTTTCAACATACTCAATCATCAAACTTATTATGTTCTTTTTCTGTCCTTATAAAAATCATTTACACAAAATAAATTTATTTAAAATATTATTTTAAGACTACCATTGAAATGAAGCAGCTCGAAAATAGATGACAATTCATTTGAGTTTGCAGAACATTAGATTTTTGAACTGTGGATTTTTTAAATTATTTTCTTCTAATTTTATTTTAATTTAAGCATTTTTACCATTTTAAGATATGTATATGTATATTTAGTTTTAAGCCTAAAAGATAAAAATGTAACAATTAATTCAGCTCTAACAAATGATTACAAATGTTGATAATGATTCATAAACATAATTGAAGATGTGATATTATGTTCTCATACATATATCAATCTTTTATGCTTCCGCACGCCACAACTCTTGTAAATTCTTCAAATTATGGAAGTTAAAAAATTATCCTAATACGTTTCTATTAAAAGTCATTAAAAGGCTGTGGATATGTGTTGATTTTAACACCTTTAGTTCACATTTCTCAGGACAGATATAATACAACAGTTTTAAATTTTTAATAACATATGGCCTGTTAGATAACAATAGATGCCTATTATGTACAATACAAATACAAATGATAAAATATTTCGTTTAAAGGCTGTGAAGTAAATGATTTTATAATGACATCCTCGTACCTATGTATGTCCTTATTACCACGCGAAATCAATGATCTTGATTTTATCATCGTAAAATAAAAGAAAAAATAATATGTATATATTTTTAAATATCATATAATGAAAATGTTTGTTTCGGGAATATTTATAATAACTAACAATGATCTTTTGTTAAGTATTTTTTAATGGCGTTAATTCAAAGTCTTGTCCATACAAAGGGTGTCAGCTTAAGAAAGTATTAGAAACTTGTTCGTTTTTGCTAATTAAGCCCGTCGTGACAATATTAAAGGCATACTAATTGGGTGAGAAAATTGCTAATGTTTTTCCAGTATTGTTTGCAATAAGACTTGCATTTACATGACTGTTTTAGGGGAATAACATTTAAATAAGTTTATTTTCTATTTATCTATTAATAAACGTAAATAAAATATATTGTAAATATACTGGGCTAAGAGTAAAAAAAAAGTCATAATATTGTGGTAGATATGAAGATGGACGAAAATTTTGTAAAGTATGAGAGACTTGGGAACAATTTAAAGAAGTCGTAGGACAATATCAATAATTTTTTTAGGTTGAGTATTCAGATTTTTTAATGAAATCAGTTTTGTCAAAAAGTTGATTACTTTAAAATTATTATGTATATTAAAAAAAAACGTAAGTGTAAATACTGTAAAACCTCAAAAGTTAAAAGTAATTTGATTTTACTTTTCTCACAATTTATAATTTAATTGTTAATAAAATAATAACATGTTAGTTTCATAATTTGTAATAAAAAAAATCTTCAAAACGGGTTAATATTTTCAATCTAGCAATTTAATTTTGTTCTTTATAATTAATTAAGTTCGATATGAAGAGGTTTACGAGTTTCAAACGTTCTTAATAAAGTTTCATCTCTAATTAAGAATTCGCCGAATGCCTTTCAATACTACCTAATATCAGAGCTAATATCTTTCAAAAAAACCTAATATCAAAACACCAAGAGCCAAAACTCTTTGAATGCTAACAATTCTTCTTGTAATTCAGTTCGAAAGTAGTTCTATTTAATATCATAATTATTTTTGGATGTTACATATAATATAATAAAAATAGAAAAAAAATTATCAAAGGTACTTTCTTCGATACAAAAAATTAAAAATGGTGATTTATTACTAAATTTTTTACATACCTGCCACCGAATATGCCAGTGTTTTAAATATTGATTGCAGTTAACTAAAATAGAAGCAATCGATATGGGCTTCTTGAGGTCAAGTGTACGAGATTGAGTCTAATATCGTTCAGAATAAAACAGTAAGTGTTATTTCATATATCTATCTCAAATGTTTTGTTCTTGTGTTATGTTGTTTGTTCTGGTTTTCTGTTCGGTTTTTCCACAATTTTTTATAAACTCTATCTTAAGTTATATTTCATTCTTTTATTTAGATTTTTTTATATTTAATTAAACTGATGGCTACGGTCTCTTTATGTAATCCATCCATCCATCATATAACTTTGTTTATAATGCAAATTATTTTTTCGACTCATGACAGTTACATAAAATAGTTTTAAATATTTCCATTACCAATAGGTAAAACCATAAGTTTCACAATTTTATAAGGTCAAAGATACAATAATTAAAAAAAATATGTTAAATATAATACTACATCGTTTTAATTCTTACTAAAATATAGTTATGATTGTAATTGCTCAGCTTTTTTCATTGACACTGTAAAACCTTTACTAAATCCTTTATGGTTAATAGTCGTTTATTAATCAATATATTAGCTATTCATTAATGCAAAGGATGCTGCTTATAAGCTTGTACTTTTTGTTATCATAAACAAGTTGCGAAATTTCTTATTATTTTTTTGGGTACGTAAAAGTTGATGAGAATATAAGAAAATCAAAATCAATGATTGTTAAGAAAGATGGAATGAATTTGAAATTATTCTGTATTCATTTATTTTTATTCTTTTAATTTTAGTTAAATTTCTTTAAATTATAGGACAGGTTTTGTTTATTTTCATTTCAGACGGTAAATTCTATTTGCAGTCTCAGTCGGAGTTATAAATTTCTATAACAGAGAGTCAGATAACAGAGAATATATTTATAGTATGGTTTATAAAGAGTTTTGCTCTCTTTTTATGCGAATTTAATTTAGTTTCCAATAGAATCTGGAAGTTAATCAAGATAAATAATGCGTAACAAATATATATACTAATGGACATGTTGACTAAGGAGCCAGCAGAATGCAATTGTATGGGAAAACTATGTAAATCATGAACAATGATTTTTAAACCTCATTATTTCAAGAAAAATATTATAAAAAGAAAAAAAATTACAAAGTTCCTTTTAATTTATTTAGTGGTTTCTGTATATTCATAATAGTACTGGTAGTAGTTAATATTAAGTTATTTAAACAAATTTAATGATGTTTTGAAATCGTTATCACTCTTAATGTATTTATAAAGCAAGTCTTATATGACCATACCAAAATAAGAAAACCAATAGTATATTTTTATTTTTAACTAGTTTGTTCAACTAAATGTG